TTATGTTTTCAGCTCCTGTTCCAGTTTCCCTCTTTACTGTTCCCTCTTTTTAAAACTTATTTACTATTCTCTTGATGTTTCTTAAATGGGAGCTAGAGTATGAATGTTGGTACCATTACTGAAAGCCTCATTGATCTTTTTCCTCTCAACATTTCTCAGTGAGGAAAAAATAGATATTTATTAATATATACTTAATAGCTCTGTTATATTACATTGAGCACGATTTACTTAACACCAGCACTTAATGTTATATATATATATGTATGTATATCAAAGTGAAAAATTGCTTTATTAAAGAAAGTTCTTGATTTTCTGTAGAAATGATTTTTGACAGATGTGTAAAGTGTTTTTTGATGTGGGGAAGCGACATGAAAATAAATAATAAATATTGTGCTCAACTTATTTCAGGAAAGTTTAATCCAGTATTAGCAGTTTAGACGATAAGTAGTGAATTAGCCTATATTGGTATATCCAATGTTACTAAAGTTTGAATTGACATTTTTTATTTGCCGACTAAGTTAAAAGTAGCACTGGGATTTTGGAAATTTTTTTTCTTTCCTTACTGAATAGGGTGTGTGTGTGCGTTATGAGCTTAAGAGAAGGTAGAAAGAAAGTGATGGTTATGAGGATAGATAATGACTGACTTATGATTTGAAGAAGTTAAAATTATAATGTTCAGGGAAGCATCCATGCAGGAGTTGTTCTACAAAGTAGTAGTCTTTGGGTGGAAAAGCAGTTTGAGTGGAACTTCTTCCTTACAAATGGAATATGGAGGAAATATGTGACATTAGGATCTCAAGAAAGAAGTACAAGGAAAGGGTCTACTAAGTGGATGATAATTGTTAAAAATTAATTGAAAAGTTGAGAAAAAATTTAAAAATGAAATATATTGAAAAATCCTGTTCAAAGTAGTAAGTGAACAGCTAAGCTGTTCCAAAGAGAACTGAACCTAAATTTAACTAAATGGAATTGAGTAAGATTGAGCAAAGCCTAGACTACCTATCCTTCCCTACTTCCCACCAATGAGAAAGAGACCATAAAGGTATCCTTGAAGATGTCAAATAGAAAAAAAAAACATGTTGTTGATAAAGAAACCCAGGTAGTCACCCCCAAAAACAAAAAACATTTAAAGATCTAGCCAAAAAGCCAGAAATAACTATCTGGTTTGAAGTGACCACCCAGAAGAAAAGTGTCCCTACAAAGATAAAGATTAACCTGATGGATTTGTTCATTTTAATTTCTGTGACATTTGTCAAGGAAAATTTTATATTTAACATTAATACATACAAGTGATAAAGAAAAATTAATCACTATTTTAGAGTGACCATGGGCGAAAAGGCTCTGTGGTCTTGTTGAACGAGAAAACAAATAAGCAGAGGAAAGATAACTTTTGTTTTTATCACTAAAGAGATTGGGAATATTTTTCTTTTCCACCCATGACAATTCTTGAGATTGGCTGGTTGGAAGAAAGATTAATGACTGAAAATTGCTTCTGCCTAGACATTCTGAAAGTTTGCATTTGTCATGGGGATGGTGTGTTAGCCCTTGGAGTAAGCTGAGGTTAGATCCTGAGAAAGTGGGAGAAGGAAGAGAGGTGATTAGCACCACCTATATAGAGTGATGGTCTGAGATGAGATGTGAAGTATGTTGGAGTTAAGGGATGGCTTGGTTCCTCTGATCACTCTTTAAAGGAGGTTAGACAACCCCTAAATTAGGAAAATCATTCAAGTAAACATATTTTAAGAATATGGAATTTTAGAAAAAGATTGATGCTAAGTGGGGAAGACAACTGAACCCTGGTCAACCCCTGTTGGATGCAGGAATTCATATGACAACTCGGAGAGTCATCACATTACTGCTACTGGAATCCACATTGTTTGCCGAGACCTCCTGACCAAGACCATGTGCTGGCCCTGAAGATCAGAACTTAGAAATTTAAGTTACTACTAACTCAAGCTGCAGATTCCAAAATGGATCCCAGTGTCATTTGATTATACAGTAGTGGGGAGGGTTAAAGCCACTGTTTTGAACAAATCATATATAAACCAAATCGTTGTTACATTTTTAACCCTAGTTAATTCTTTATTCCAAAGAATTCTGTTTTTTTGCATAGCTCCCAGCAGTCAACCTGTCTTCCCTTTGGTTTGCTCCATCAGCGGTCTTCTCAATCTCTTCAAAAACACAATGTGACAGAGGAGTGAATGATTGTGAGCAGACAAATGCAAGCTAAGTTGAGTGGAACCAGACTGATCATCATGATACCAGTTACAAACCTGCCATACATTAATGAGTGAGGATTCAGCTAAATGGTAAGCATGGTGGTCTGAAGGAACTTGAAAGCCACTGAAGAGCATAGGGCTACATTATTGTTTGCCATTGAACAGATTGACTCTTGGGGTTACAAATATGGGTGATTTGATTCTGTGGACATAGCATGGTGTGTCCTAGCTGTAAAGTTCTGAACTGGAGGAACTAAAGAATAGATCTCATCGAAACATTTACCATGGAAATATCAATTAAAATTGTGATAGGTTTGCAACTTTATCCAAAACATTGCTTGATAGCCACTCAAAGAGATGAAGTGAGGAATATGGATTGCTACCCCTTCTTGACATTTTTTGACTCCTGAGAGGGTGATGAATCTTGTTGGAGTGACCAACATTGGTTTTTGAAATTTTTTTAACCCAAGGCAACAGCAATTACTGAAGAAGGTACTAACTTCCGGTTCCACAAAAAACAGAGGACTTTCTACTGTTGCAGTCACAGCAGCCCACACCATCACAAAGACTGCTCATTATCTTCAAGTATCTATCCAAGGTTCACTGTCTCCAGTTTGAGACTAAATCCAATCATTCTGGCTGTTAAAATGCTGTTGAACACAAGTTTTGGGAGTTTGTTTGCCTGAATGCACTTGAGGAGAACATGTGGTTTATCATTTCTCCCCAGAGCTTGCAGTTAACAGTGGCTTCTTTTTGTGTTTGCAAGGAGATGTCTTAAAGGTCTTTATGGAGAATGGTTGACATGGATCTGAAGGATACATTCACCTTTTTTGCAAGATTTCTGAGAGACCTCTTTGAATTTTTTCTCAGGTGGATTTGACAAGCTCTGGTGTTTGAGCAGTTTGAGGATGACCTTGTCCTTGCCTGTCCTTCGTATCACCAGTCTTGTTGAATCTTTTGATGATCCTCTAAACTAATATTCTGTTTGTAGAAGAGAAGAAGACTTACCTAATGTAGCAAAACCAGCATGTATATGCCTGGTGTGCAAAATGAGTGAAGGAAGGGAAAGAGAAATATGGCTGCCATGACACCTTAATTTAAGAAAGACATGGTCTCAGAGCTAGGAGAAATGGCAAGAGAGGTTGGGTGTATGCAAATTTTTTGCAGGATCAGCTCAGCATAAAACATACCATGTGAGATAGAATGTTTGTTTGTGAATGTGGTGCTGCTTGTACGGAGAGACTTTGTCATTTGGAAAGAGATTACTTGGATCAGTTCCACACACTGTTCTCTTTTAATGATTTGGCAATATCCTTTTGAGATTGTTTTGCCTTGTATATTTCTAAAATGATAATTCTTTTAGTTAAATTTTTAGCCATTTCCAAATATAATGCCTGAAATGATAAACATTCCCAAAAGATGATAATTTTTAAAATTAGATTAAAATTAATCTGAGTGTAATAATAAATATTGATCATCTTGTATATAAGTTCCACTCAAGGTGTGAAGTGAACTTGAGTCCAAATAGACTTTCAAAGCATGGAGCCTTGTTGAAAATGTGATTGTTGTGAGCAAGATATGCGACATCATACTCAAAAATGCCCACACATTGCATGCGTATGGTGTCGCAGAGCAGATAGAGGAAGGGAGAATTGGCGGAGTGTGCCTACGCATATGTAAAACTCTCCCATTCAACCAATCAGCTGCTTCGTTGTGGTCTATAAAATGAATATGGCTGAAAGCTTTGGCAGTTGGGGCTGAGGGAGCTGATGACAACTGCCCTGTTCCACCAGGTCCTTTTTGGCATGACGGCTACAGAAAATGTAACCCCCTTTATTATGACAGGAGAAAGCTCAGTGTCCAATTGGTGATGACAAAATGATAGTAGCTTGGTTTTAGAAGGATAGAAAGTTATAAAGCCATTTTTTTTCTCATTGAGAATTAAATGGAGAAATTGAAATGTAGTTGAAATTCAGCTACATGGGCATAAAATGGTGAGTCCTACCTGTAAATGCCTGAATTGGTGGAACTAAAGAATGGAGAAATAGGGAGAAAATAACGGTAGGCTTGCATCATTACGTCTGTGGGAAAGAAATGGTAGAGTGGAAGATAAAATCATCTTCTACAAGACTATGGAAACTATGCAGCCAAATTTGGTGATTCCATATAGGAAATGATTGGCAATTTTGCAGACAACCAAATTCATTGGTTCAAATTCCCCAAAGTTTTGGGTTGTATCTTGTAATCATCCATTCCAATCATTTTGTATGTCTATTTAATATTAAAAATTAAATTTAAAAATTAATTATTAAAATTAAAAATTTAAAAAGTTTTAATTCATTTTGTATGTTTTTTAAAATTAAAAAGTAATTATTAGAATTAAAAAAATTAATTCATTTTGTGTTTTGTTAAAATTAAAAATTAATTATTAAAATTAAAAAATAAAAATTTCAATTCATTTTGTATGTTTCTTTAATATAAAAGAGTTGAAGAAATAAAAAGCACTCTGTACTTTTTTTTTTGATTGATTTGTTTTTTATTATCAACCCTTTGCAACCAGAAAATATTTTTAGATTGTAAGAATTTTTTTTGGAGATAATAATGATTTAGTAATACAACTCTTACTAATTAACCCATAGGTGGAGGCAGAAGAAGTGGATTCTTACCTTTCCCAAGTGTATTTGCGCATAAGTGAATAAAACAAACCCAACTGGAATTGAAGCTCGGATCTCCAGTTAACAATTCTGAGCTGTTATCCATTACACCACCCACACATCCAAGCTTACAGCACCTGATATTTCCAAGTGGTCACTCATCTAGGTACTGACCAGACTTAACATTGTTTAACTTTGGTGATTATATGGGAACTAGTGTTTCAATATGATGTGGCCATAATCCTTGTATTTTTGTATTCCTTTTGTAAAAGAGCTGGAATTTTGCATTTCATAAAATAGAGGAAAAAATAAAATAAAATTGATGCCCATTAATCAGATATTTAGTTTCCACTGAAATTTTATTTTATTGACAGATTTAATTTATCAGTAAAACAGGATCACATTTTTCATGTAACAAGTGAAAAAAGAAAGAAAAAAGAAAAGAAAGGAAAAAGAAAATAAAAAGTAAAGAAAGAAAAAGAAAAAAGAAAAGAAAGAAAAAGTAAAGAAAGAAAAAGAAAAAAGAAAAGAAAGAAAAAGAAAAGAAACAGAGAAGAGAGAAAAAGAAAAGAAACAGAGAAGAGAGAAAAAGAAAACAGAGAAAAAGAAAAGAAAAAGAAAGAAAAAAGAAAACAAAGAAAGAGAGAAAAAGAAAAAAGAAAACAAAGAAAGAGAGAAAAAGAAAAAAAGAAAAAAAGAAGAAAGAAAAAAAAGAAGAAAGAAAAAAAAAGACAAGAAAACCATCCAAACCCCAAAAGGAGAAATAAAAACAATTTCTTTTGGATAAAATTTGTTTGTGTTTTTTTTTTATTTCATCATCATCATCATCATCAATAATAATAATAGGAAGAAGAAGAAAAAGGTGCTTTTATAAAGAAAAAAATTGTGTAATTATTTCAAAAGTTTTGTAAAAAAGAAATATATACGCGTGAAAAATCAAAAATAAATAATATTCTTCAGAAAAATAAGAGAAACATTTCTTTTTCTGCATTTTAAAAATTTATTCCCAGTGGAAGTAATTTTTTTTAATGTCTGCATAAGACTATCACTTTAAGACAGAAACCATTTCAAATAATAATAATAATAATAATACCACCAATAGTCATTGAAATAATACTGTGAACCCCTACATTGGTCCCTATTACAATAAAATCGGTTGATGATGGCTCCTAACTGACAAAAAAATAACTGCATAAAAATTTGGATTGAAGATCAAGCAGTTGACATTCATCTTTACGCTAAGAGCTTTTGACATTTAAGCCTCTAAGGCAGTGGTTCCCAAAATTATTTTCTCTGGGTCACATTTTCGGAATGAAGATTTGCTCACACCTAACCAAAGGGAAGTCCCGGTGAAAAGGCACAAGCAGCCCTATGACAAATAAGACCCAGAGAGAAGGTTAAAGGGAGATAACCACGGATTCCAAGTCAGAACATTATTATTGATAACTCTCTCTCCTCCAATTTGCAGAGCCTAGTTACTATATTCTTAATACTTGATATAATGCAAAAATATCGGTCAATAATTATTTATAACTATTTATACTTAGACTCATGCATATAATTACAAGGAATCTATAATAATATTTTAAATTTAGTGATCATATTTATTTTTGGCATATGAATTTTTTGAAACTGTTTCTAAATCTTTGTCTTTCAATCATTCTGCCTCACTTGCTATCCTCTTCTACTGTACCTATGAGGTGCACTGCACCGTTTTGGAATCACTGCTCTAAGTTAATGTTTTTCAATTTTCGTTTTTTATCTCACAGCACACTTGAACCTATAATTTATTATAATTCGTAATAAAATAATTAAAACTCTTAAAAAAATCTTATATTTATTATAATTTAACATTTAATGAGATATTTGAGTTTGACGATTTTATTTTTAGGATATCTTCTTTGCAATTTTGAATTTTGGACAGGTATATTCTTAAATCTTTTTCCAATGATTCTTGCTGTGATTGATTTTTCTTTTTAATATTGTTTCCAGACAGAAAAACTTGCTTTTTTATGTTATTTTATATATTATGTATATGTTCATTTATTACAACAATGTTTTATTTGAATAATCAATATTAAAGGAGCTTTAATTTTTATATGTGCACTTATTGTGCTTTGAGCTTATTTTGAAAATAATTTAATGCGCTTTAAAAATTTTGGCAGCATACCAATAATCTCTTATAGCACACCAATGCACCATGATACACCAGTTGAAAATACAGGGTGTCCATAAAGTTCGTTTAATGTACCTAGTTTTAAGTATCGCTAAAATAACTAATGTGATTTCAGGCATTAATAAAAATCATTTGGAAAATGTTTTCCATGAACTGCAAAATCGTATTACCCTTTGTATTGCTAATGATGGAGGACATGTGGAAACTTAAATAAAATTTCAATAAAACCTTAAAAAATATAGATTTACTTCATTCTAATCATTTTTTGCTTTTTTATATTATTTTATATATTATGTATATGTTCATTTATTACAACAATGTTTTATTTGAATAATCAATATTAAAGGAGTTTTAATTTTTATATGTGCACTTATTGTGCTTTGACCTTATTTTGAAAATAATTTAATTATTTGTATTTGCGACAGAAATAATTTGTAAAAAGGATTAGAAAGAAGCGCTCCCCACGTTAAAACGACCTTGTGTCACATTCAGCCTTGGTGGAGAGGCCAGGTAAATATACCTGGAGACAGCTTGATTTTCAAACATGATGGAATAGTGCCAGTCATTCATCAGCCCAGCCAGCCACCGTAAAAATGATCCATTGAAGCTGATTATTTCAGTCCATCGTCACATCTGGCAATGCAGCAGTTGCAACTTTAAAGAATCTTACAACCCTCACCTCACACTTGCTTTACTTGTTCCAATTGCGCTCTAACCTATGTTTCCAATAAACAAGAGATAATAGTGAAAACATGAATGTGTGGACAGACAAACAATATTTGACGTTAATTCAGTCAATGCAAAATTTAGATACTGCAAGATCTTATATATATATATATATATATATATATATATATATATATATATATATATATATATAAATGTATGTATGTGTGTGTGTGAAAATATATAGAAAATACTCGAACTCGTTAGGTAAATAATCCAAAGTTCTTTAGTATTTTTGTTATTATTTTTAAAAAACAGTGCTTGATACAAAAGTAGAACCTAAATATAATTATTTATTTAAAAATATGATTCCATCGCTACATAAGAGTTCTCATGTTTCAAAACAAGAGACAAAAACTTCAATATAATTATTTGAATTAAATTGAATTAAAGTACCAAGCTCTGTTCCATCTTCAAGCGAAATGTTTTTGGGAATAATTAATTCTTGAAATTTACGCGTTTTATAAGCATATTCATTATTAAAATTAAAATTACTATGGTAACGGCTAGAGCAATTATTTAAAAAAAAGGTGTGTAAGGGTTAATAATTTGTATCAATATCTCAGTTACATTCAAAGATGTCAAGTCAGGGTAAGGTATCTTCCACTTTGAATTTAGACACCCCAACCTTAGAAAAGAGCTCTTAGTCATTGAAAAAAGAATGGAATCAATTTTCAAACTTATACTTTGAGAAATCTTTGCAACAAATGCCAAAACATTTGTGTTGCAGTAATCAAGGTTAAAGGAGGATATTTTGATGAGAGCAAAATTTAATCATAAAATACTTTTTTTCTATTGGTTATAATAAAATTTCTAATAAAAAATTATGTCTCACATTTTTTTAACCATGTATAATAATTTTCTCTCATTTAAAGTAAAAAATAACTACTTTCTGAGACAATTTAAAAAATTACCAGGTGTTCCCTCAAACTTTTGAACTGTAGTGTGTGTGTGTGTGTATATATATATATATATATATATATATATATAATTATTTATTTAAAAATATGATTCCAAATCGCTACATAAGAGGTCTCATGTTTCAAAACTAGAGCCGAAAACTTCAATATAATCCTTTAAATTAAATTGAGTTGAAAGTATATATAATCCAATGGCCATCAGACAAGACCTTCAGAATGATCTGAATTTGTCAGGAGTTAATGTAACTAAGCAAATGATTAGTAATGAACTACGCAGAGATGGTATAAAGTCACACTCCCCAAGAAAGACACCACTCCTTCTGAAATGGCATAGAGATTCCAGTTTGAAATTTGTGACAGAGCATAAAGATAAGGAAAATTCTTATTAGGAAAGAGTTCTTTGGACAGATGAGAGTAAAATTGTGTTGTTCAGTCACAATTCCCTGAATCATGTATGGAGGAAAGACGGCAAAGCATACACACACAAGAACACCATACCAACTGTCAAATTTGGTAGGGGTAGTATCATGCTTTGGGGCTGCTTTTCGATGCGAGGTGTTGGCAAACTAGCAATTATAGATGGTAGAATGAATGCAGAAAAATATCAACAAATCCTAAGCAAAAATTTATCACTTTCTGTAGAGAATCTTGGGCTTTTGCCTGATTGGATCTTCCAGCAGAACAATGATCCCAAGTATAGTGCTAAGAGTAGGAAGAATTGGCTTGCTAATAACAACGTTAACATGGCCCAGTCAGTCACCAGATTTGAATCCAATAGAGATTTTATGGCGGTTTTTGAAAAATAAGATCCGTGATAGAGGTCCAACAAACATCAAAAACCTGAAGACAATTACTCAGGAAGAATGGGACAAAATACCTACTAAAGTATGTGAATCGTTAATTAAAGACTACAGGAAGAGATTGGTTGCTGTTAAACTTAATAAAGGCTTTGCTACAAAATATTAAATGGAGAAAACATGTTTTTGATCTGCTGTACGAGCATTTTTTAAACCCCCAAAAATTTAAATATTGCTATATTTTCTTAACCATGGAATATTATTTAGTTTTATATGCATACATTTTTAGTATGCAATATGATACAGTAGACATATTTGTTACAAATAAAAATATGAAATATTTTCATGTGTATGATCACTTATTCCACCCCACTGTATATATACCGGGTGTAAAAGCAAAATTGTCCAAATCATGTAACAACAAAATTGTCAAATTGTTAGATTAAACTTTGAACTTGTTGTATGTTAGAAATGATTAAAGATATCTTACTGGAATTCTCCAAGGTTTTTATAATACTATTGGACACTACTTTGATCAATAAGAATGTATTTAGCTCTAAGGTGAAATGATGATCCCTCTTTCTTTTTTGAACTCGTGACTCAGTTTTCCTCTCTATTG